GTTCCAAGAATCCAAGGCACATAAGTGAGTTGGTGCAGTCCATTAAAACACTTAGGCGACAAGTTGTGGCTAGGGAATCTGAGAGAGCTGAGAGGGCAACTTTGGTTACTCAGGAGAAACTGCAACTTGCCAATAATAGATTTAAACCAATTCGGCTGCCTGACCTTTCGATTCGGCCTCCTTTTGGTGGGCGTGGCAGGAAGATACCTGGTACACTTGAGGCTCACGTCAATGGATTCCGTTACTCAACCACTAGGCAAAGTGAACGTGTAGACATAATGTTTGCCAACATTAAGCATGCATTTTTTCAGCCAGCAGAAAATGAAATGATTACACTCCTGCATTTCCATTTGCACAACCATATTATGGTAGGAAACAAGAAAACCAAAGATGTGCAGTTTTATGTTGAAGTGATGGAGATGGTCCAGAATGTAGGCAGTGGAAAGAGATCTGCCTATGACCCTGATGAGCTTGAAGAAGAACACGGGAGAGAGAAAGGAAGAACAAAATCAATGTGGAATTTCAGAGCTTTGTCAACCGGGTCAATGATCTCTGGGGACAGCCACAATTTAGAGGGCTTGACTTGGAATTTGATCAGCCTTTGAGAGAACTTGGCTTTACTGGGGTCCCTCATAAGTCCTCTGTCTTTATTGTTCCTACTTCCGCCTGTCTTGTCGAACTGATTGAAACACCGTTCCTTGTTGTCACCCTAAGTGAGATTGAGATTGTGAATTTAGAGAGAGTTGGTCTTGGGCAGAAGAACTTTGACATGACAATAGTGTTAAGGACTTCAAGCGGGATGTCCTCAGGATTGATTCCGTTCCTTCCACTTCACTTGATGGCATCAAGGAATGGCTTGACACAACGGACATTAAGTATTACGAGAGCAGGCTAAATCTGAATTGGCGCCAGATACTCAAGACAATCACCGATGACCCACAGAGCTTTATAGAAGGAGGGGGTTGGGAGTTTTTGAATTTGGAAGCTACTGATTCAGAATCAGAAAATTCAGAGGAGTCAGACAAAGGTTATGAGCCATCGGATGTTGAACCTGAGTCTGATTCGGAAGATGATGATTCTGATAGTGAATCTCTAGTGGAGTCAGAAGATGAGGAGGAGGAGGATTCTGAGGCGGACTCGGAAGAAGAGAAGGGAAAGACATGGGAGGAGTTGGAGAGAGAAGCCAGCAATGCGGATAGGGAGAAAGGGGATGAGTCTGACAGCGGAGAGGAGAGGAAAAGAAGGAAGATGAAAGCGTTTAGGAAGTCACGAGCTGGTCTAAGTAGTAGCATGCCAAAGAGAACCAAGCTAAGGTAGGCTGTAATATTTTATGCTTTGTTTCTGGCCAGTTTTGTAGTTTAGTGCAGTTGCAACCACGCCATTACTGCCTTATGCAGTGCTCAAGCTTGGAGTTGCTATATCTCTGTAACTTAGGCTTTCCCTTCCATTATAAATATCTGTAGGCATTTGGTGGGATCCTTGAAATGCAACTTTGTTGATTAAAATTGTTACTTGGCTTCATATTTTAACAATCGTGTTTCTTCTATGGTTTTCCGCGTCATAGTCAGCTCTTGTGATTGTGTGATTCTTGTTTAGCAACAATGCTGGACGGATCACCCGGGCTTAGTGCCCCCACTACGAGATAAAAATTTGACATTAACATATTAAACACTAGTATTTTAAAGGAAAATATGCTTCATGACCCCCTCTAAACGTTTTTGCACTCCCTTTGATTTTTCAGAAATTCAAACGCACCCTCAAAAGTATATTTCTTTTGCACATGTTGAAAATAAATTTATGAAATAAACAAAATATGCTTCTCCGGTATTCAAACTTCTCAAAAAGACTAATAAAATTAGTGAGATCCTTTAGAGGAAAAAAAAAAAGAATATAATTGCTGAAAATTCTCATAACAAGTGAGCAACATGCGAATATAATTCTTGCCTAAGGTATAACAACAAATCTGTGGTGCCTGCTTATGAGATCTTTTATTATATTCCTCTCATGAGATCCCATAATGATTTTATTTACATATGAAATTTTGGTATTTATTTTCTTAAAGGAAGTCTTCAATAGCATGTTAGATTATTTGATATTATAATAATTTCATATATATATAATTATGTATTATTTTTTAGTATTACTAAATCTCAACATTATGAAAAATATTAATATTCATGATGCGTCTCATTTTTCATATTCTATGAAAAGCACGAGGTTCACTTAACTTGCACGTAAATATGTGATTTGAATGAGTATGTTAAACATCAAGATCTCAAGAAACACAAAAGAGAACAAGCTTGTCTCATTGCCAAATCTCAACTTCCTGATTTATGCGTATCTTATCTTTTGGCAACTTTTGTACCTTGTTGTAGAAAGAATCTGCTTTGGTCATTCATGAAAAATTGTAACCAACATTTTAGCATTCCCATATGAAAGCCATAATCCAAGCGCTCAACTTTTTAAACAGTTGGAATTATACACAAAGGACCCCCCGGGGGGGGGGGGAGTTCGGCATTAGGAGTGCAGATCAAGCAAAGTATAAACTAGCCGATCAAACCTTGAGGGATTATTACCTAATTCCCTTTTACGAAGAAAAGAAAATTACCCCAAATTTCACTTTGGCCACTAAACTTCAGAATAATATTATAAGAGGCTACTCATATCTTTAGATTAATAATGTAAAAATATGGATAGTCATTATTAATTGTGCTGCTCAAGAACATCACAATCAATGGCGGCCGAAAAAAAAAAATACGCAAAAAAAACAATGGAGAATGGACCCTACCTGAGACAAGAAGAAACTTGAGGAAGAAAGCACGCTCCAAATTGCCAATCATATTTATGTATTTTATTTCCCCACTTTAACACTTCATCATCCCCACTAGGCCCATTCAATTCACCCCTTATGCTCAACATCTAATCATTCCCCAATTTCAAACAAAGCATCACTCTAAATTCAAACCTATGGCAGCCAGCTTTTGCACTTTGGTTATGAAGTCTTGCGCTGCTCATTTTGGACCAAACGTCCTTGACAAAGTTTGCCCACTATATCCCATTAATATAACACTTCCTTCTTTCCACCCTTTTTGTCCTAATAAATATAAAAATTAATAAGGTGTTTGCCTTCAAAATGTCAGATCAAATCTCTTATAATTCAATTCATTGCATATGTTAAGAAGTTTTCATAATTAACTTTTCTAGACTTAATTAATTTTTTTTCCCTCACCAAACTACTCTGACTTCTCTCCAAATTAAATTTGAATATTAACGTAAACTATCATGTTAAAGAAAATTCTGTTCTGAATCGGCAAATCCAATGCTTCCGAAACTGATTGAAAGTCTCAATTTCGGGGGGAAGAATTCCAACAAACGCCTTTTCATGCTAATACCCAAAACACAATATACGACGTATATTACTGTAATTGAAATTTTAGGATAATGAAGCGTGTTATAATAATAATAATGTAAAATGTACAGGCAGAGCAACCTCAAGAAAAACAAAAACGCTATCGGGTCGCCGGTAAGCCCGCCGGCGGTGACAGATAAACCTGACTCTGCACTACCGTTTTATCCATCTTGAATCCGGGAACAACCGTGAAACTCACCCGAAGCTCGCCGGCACCACCGGAGCCACCACCGGCTTCTTCACTCCCTGACTCTGAAACTGATTCCGATTCGGCGACATTAACACATTCCATGTACACCTCAGAGAATCTACTGTTCTTCTTCACCTGAAAGATGCTCACTTCATCATCAAACGACAATGCCAGAAAATGTAGGTCCCAGACACGCTTCGCCATCTCAGCGAACGAGGTGAAGAAAGCAGAATCTGGGAACCCCCCAGAGTTCACTTGCTTCCTCTGGTTCAAATTCCCAAACAAGGAACACTCCATCTTGGCGTGAACAAGTTGAAAGTACTTGGATTTTAAGAATTTCGCGAATGACGATGTTGGATTGTGGGTTAGATACTGTTTCGGATTCAAAGATTTGAGCTTTTTGAATTTCTCAAAGTAGAGGTTTTGGTTTTGCTTGTGGGGTTTTCTCTCACTGGGCTCATTCGGGACAGTAAAGTTTTGGAAATTGAAACCTTCGAAAATTGTTAAACATACGAATGATTCAAATGCAAAGTATATGTGACTCGGTTTGGCAAATACTGCATGTGGGTGAATGAATTTCGCGGCTGCTTGAAGATCCCAATGAGCAGATTCCATTTCTCTGATCATCAACTTCACGAAGCTCTTAATCGCTCTCAAGGTATGCTCAAGAAACTGAACAAAATGAGTCGGATTTAACTTGGAAAGTTGAAGATTATCACTAAACTTCGGGCTAATATTATCAGAGGCTACTCATCTCTTTAGATTAATAATGTAAATATCGATAGTCATTATTAATTGTGCTGCTCAAGAACATCACAATCAATGGCGGCCGAAGAAAAATATGAAAAAACAATGGAGAATGGACCCTACCTGAGACAAGAAGAAAACTTGAGAAAGAAAGCACGCTCCAATTGCCAATCATATTTATGTATTTTATTTTTCCCCACTTTAACACTTCATCATCCCCACTAGGCCCATTCAATTCACCCCTTATGCTCAACATCTAATCATTCCCCAATTTCAAACAAAGCATCACTCTAAATTCAAACCTATGGCAGCCAGCTTTTGCACTTTGGTTATGAAGTCTTGCGCTGCTCATTTTGGACCAAACGTCCTCGACAAAGTTTGCCCACTATATCCCATTAATATAACACTTCCTTCTTTCCCCCTTTTGTCCTAATAAATATAAAAATAATAAGGTGTTTGCCTTCAAAATGTCAGATCAAATCTCTTATAATTCAATTCATTGCATATGTTAAGAAGTTTTCATAATTAACTTTTCTAGACTTAATTAATTTTTTTTCCCTCACCAAACTACTCTGACTTCTCTCCAAATTAAATTTGAATATTAACGTAAACTATCATGTTAAAGAAAATTCTGTTCCGAATCAGCAAATCCAATGCTTCCGAAACTGATTGAAAGTCTCAATTTCAGGGGGGAAGAATTCCAACAAACGCCTTTTCATGCTAATACCCAAAACACAATATACGACGTATATTACTATAATTGAAATTTTAGGATAATGAAGCGTGTTATAATAATAATAATGTAAAATGTACAGGCAGAGCAACCTCAAGAAAAACAAAAACGCTATCGGGTCGCCGGTAAGCCCGCCGGCGGTGACAGATAAACCTGACTCTGTACCACCGTTTTATCCATCTTGAATCCGGGAACAATCGTGAAACTCACCCGAAGCTCACCGGCACCACCGGAGCCAGCACCGGCTTCTTCACTGCCTGACTCTGAAACTGATTCCGATTCGGCGACATTAACACATTCCATGTACACCTCAGAGAATCTACTGTTCTTCTTCACCTGAAAGATGCTCACTTCATCATCAAACGACAATGCCAGAAAATGTAGGTCCCAGACACGCTTCGCCATCTCAGCGAACGAAGTGAAGAAAGCAGAATCTGGGAACCCCCCAGAGTTCACTTGCTTCCTCTGGTTCAAATTCCCAAACAAGGAACACTCCATCTTGGCGTGAACAAGTTGAAAGTACTTGGATTTTAAGAATTTCGCGAATGACGATGTTGGATTGTGGGTTAGATACTGTTTCGGATTCAAAGATTTGAGCTTTTTGAATTTCTCAAAGTAGAGGTTTTGGTTTTGCTTGTGGGGTTTTCTCTCACTGGGCTCATTCGGGACAGTAAAGTTTTGGAAATTGAAACCTTCGAAAATTGTTAAACATACGAATGATTCAAATGCAAAGTATATGTGACTCGGTTTGGCAAATACTGCATGTGGGTGAATGAATTTCACGGCTGCTTGAAGATCCCAATGAGCAGATTCCATTTCTCTGATCATCAACTTCACGAAGCTCTTAATCGCTCTCAAGGTATGCTCAAGAAACTGAACAAAATGAGTCGGATTTAACTTGGAAAGTTGAAGATTATCGAACATTGAGAATGGCCCGCTTGAACTTAACCTCTTTTCAAGCGATTTATTGAAGCTGATACACTCATCAAGCTGCTTCTTAAGCGAAGAACTCTCAGATTCTTTGAGTTCAACTTCTGATTCGAGCTTCTTGATGGTGAGTTCATAGGTCTTCATCAAGCTCTGCTGTTCCTGAATCTCAGCGAGCATAAGAGTCACCTGAGGCGAAAGATCAAGCTCTTTCTTCACAAACTTCCTCTTCAGCTCCGAAATAGCTCTGAGCTCATCAACCACAGCCTGATCAGCTGCTTGAATGGCTTCATTATTGTAGGGTTTCTGAGCCATTTGAAGCTCTGCATAAGAAGCTTTAATGGCGGTAACACCAGCAAAGAGCCTGGCAATGAGAGCCTCCATGATTGCTCTGATTCGAGCTTTGTCACGTTCGTGTTTGGCATTAGAATGATGGGATTTAATGGCGAAGGGCTGTGAGGAAAGCAAGCAGAGGCCATTACTGGAGGAGGAAGAAGAAATGATCTTCGCAGCACCTCGGAAGCTGATGACCTTGTGGAATGTCTTGGCTAATTTGTTGCTGCGATTGTTGATGGCGGATTTGGGTTTAATGGTTTCCATTGGCAAAGAGAATTAGAGGTTTGTTTGAAGCATAAGAATTTGATCAGAGTAAAATGCAGGAAAATCCCAAGCTACTGGAAACAAAACAGTATCATTATGATTATTATGGCGGAAAAAGCAGACACAAATGTTTGACTATAACACTACCAAAGTGGACCTTACCATAGACAGCTTTTGCTATGAGATAACATAACATACAATTATCAAATTAAAGTTGGCTTATTGTTTATTACACCCTACCCTTAACGGTTTATTTTTCTAAGGAAAACAATTTTTTATTGAATATGTTAATTTGACCAAAGATACTAAGTAGTGCATGCTTAGACTAATTTATTTTAGGAAAAATTGGTAAAAAAATCCCTGGTTGAAAATTTAATTGATAAAAAAAATCTAAATTTGAGCAAGTACAACTATGATCCGTTAGTGCAACATATCTTCCGTCGTGTGCACACAATGGAAAATATATTGTACTCACGGGTCATACTTGTATGTGTTCAAATTCAAGTTCTTTTAGCCAATTAAATTTTCAAACAGAAATTTTTTATCAATTTTCCCTTTATTTTAAATAATTTTATATTATATGATATAAATAATTAAATATGTGAAGAGAATTTTACTTTATAAAACTTAAAAAATATTTTTTAAGTTAAGGCAAACAGATGCTAAGAGAGGTTAGTATAATTATTTTGAAATTTACATATTAATTAAATGAATTTGTAATGCTACATAAAATTTGAATAATAAACCTATATAACAACTTATAAATAATCTCAGTTCCGATTATTTGTTATATTTGACATCAACAATTAATGGTAAAAAAATAATAATAAAAGGCGGGGAATCAAACAAACAGGGGCAGAGTCCACAAAGCGCGGGAAAGGGAAAGATTGGATGGTTGAGATTTCTGGGGAGGATATGACAAGTGCTTGTGGCATAAGTCTTCCGGATCTTTTTACTTTTTTGGTAGGAGTCTGCCGGATCTGCCCTAAGATGTTGTTTGTCTCTGTCTTTGTTCCGCTCTTTGATAATAATAAATAATAATAAAGGTAAAGATGCCACCAGACCAAATAAAAAATACTCATCCAGTCGTAATTATAAAATTTTTATATTAGTATATATAAGGGTTTTATATTTAAAATGATAAATATAATAATACTTGAAAGATCATGAAAAGTTGGTTAAAAATATCTTATTAGAAAATGAATGAGTCATAAGCAACTCAAGCTTATCAGATTTAAATTTTTTAGATTTCATCTAAAAAGTCTTGATTTAATTTTTTATTTTTATTTTTTTAGAAATATTATTTTAATGGATATAAGATCTAAAATAAAAATAATATCTTAATTATCATGTTTTAAAAATAATTTTTATTCAAAATTAACTAATTAAAAAATTTGAAATCTAAAACTCCCTATCAAATTTAAATGAATCGGTTTCCATGTAACATATCTTTAGTTGTGATATCTAAATATTTTTTATTTTGCATATAATTAATGATGGGTTGCATATAATTAAAAAAAAAAAAAAGTTATTGCATCTAGGCCATTAAACAAGTTGCAGATATCCTCGCACCATTAAAAGGAAGCATGCTTCTTCCGCATGTCAGGCCACAGTAGATACCTAGCTATAATTAATACAAGTCTACATAAAATCCAAGTTCAATAAATATTTATATGTAAAACATATAAGTGAACAGACATTTTTATTTTTATTTTCTAGACTTATAGCAATGATGTGAAATATATTTAATTTTATTTGTGGGGATTCTGCTGTCCATGGAAAATCTGTGTATGGAGTTTTTCAAGAAGGCGCATACCGCAGAAAGTGTTGAAAACCATCTTCAACTTTTGTCCTTCCGTTCACATTACACCCATTTCATTTATCCCTGTGGGTGTGGAGTTTGAAATGGTATTTACTTTCATAACCAATATCAATATGATATAAATCCAAGAGAAGAAGATAAATAAATACTTCCAAAATGCAAAAATTCCAAATCCGAAAGAAAAAGTAGAGAAAAAGAGAAGAGAATCAGAGAGATGAAAATATTGGAATATTTCTCATTTCATTCAAAATATTGAACACATAATACATATTCTCTATTTATAGGCACAGTTTTATAATTTTAACAGAATCTATAGATTACATAATAATAATAGATAATTATAAGATATAGAGATAATAAAGATATTGAAAATGATAAAAGATAATAGAAGATATATGAATACAAGATATTCACGGTATTGAATACAAAGATATTATATTCATAACACAAATTAGTTTTTTTTAGACCAAAATGAAATTTCAAAATTGGAGCAAAATGGCCTTAGTGCTTCTTAATTTTTTTTTTAAAAAAAAAAGATGCTCCACTACCAAGAGCCATTGCAGCTAGCAGCCCGGCAATTTTTGGCAAAGTGGCTAACTGCGATTTAATCATAACATCTTTTACAATAATATCACAAATAATTTAGGTAAGTTCAATAGCAAGTGAGTGGCTATAATACATCAGTCATTAAGAATATTGATAATAAGTGATTGCTACAGAATTTACATAAACTTGTGATAGATATAACTATTGACAACAACATATAAGCAATTACTCTAGCCTTTGCCAAGCATTGTTCGTCTACGTCGGAGCTCCGACCAATTGGTGGTGGCTTCTAGCCTCCTCGAAACCTCTCCTCTTCCCTCCTCTTCTTTTTTTAATTGTTATATTAACATATTTTAACAGTTTAGATTTTAATTTTTTTATAAACTATTTATAAAAAAATTTGAAAAACCTTTACTGCACTCGCAAATCATTAGAATTAAATTTTAATATAGTTTGTAATTTGTTTTTTTATATTTTAATATTTTAATATTTTAATAATAGTTTTAAAAAGATTTAAATTTGAACCGTTAAAATGTTAATTTAATGGTTAAAAAAGGAAGATGATGAAAAAAGAAGAAGAGAGATTTCGAACCGGCTTCTAGCAACCAGCAAAAGTGGGATTTTTTTTTAAATGGGTTAAGGTACATCTAATGTTTTAAATTATTTCGTGATCTATCTAATATCCTAAAATATTTTTTAGACGCGCTTATCACTTGAAATATTTTTTTTTTGTCTTGGTGTTAAATGTACCAAAAAATATTGCAGCATGCTGGCACCTAATTAAAATAAATACTTGGACATAAAGGACTTTTTTTTTTTTTTACCAGCGACATAAAGGACTAATTTAAACATAGGAAAAAGAGATTGCGTATAAAAGAAGTTGATCAGTTATACAAAGAAAAAGATGTCGTGTCAGAAAAGATGAATTGAGTTACACAAAAAAAAAAATAAATTACACAAAATCTTTAAACATCTTTTGTCAATTAATTTCTGAATGAGAAATTTATCTCCAATTTTCTTTAACATAAATCGCCTTTATTTTCACATAGAACACAATGCGGGGTGTCAAAGCCTTTTTCCCCCAGTCCTTATCTGTGTTGGCCTTAACTTCAATCTCAATCCCCGTGAAGTCATTTGAACTCTCAGGAAGAGGCAAAGATATAAGAGGACAAAGGGAAGTTCAGAGCCGTCAAACAAGTATTTTATGATAAGTTGTTTGATCAAAATGTTCATATACTGTAAAGTCTTTGCAGGTGAGTGACATTAATCCTTCTTTATAAATAGGAAGGTGCAGGTTTGATTCCGCATATAACCTTACAATATTAGTACACCAGGAAGAAAAAAGTATTCATATGATGTACTATTCCAAACTCATTCAGGTCCAACAATTATGCTTGTATTAATGACAAAAAATAACTTGTAATTTATGAATCTATGATTGATGAGAAGGCTTAATGGGATAGGATGGGACCAAGGTCGGCAATTGGCGCGAAAACATCAGAAAAAGACGCAGCCGAAAGGATGATTGTGACTCAAACATGACTCCCCATTAAGTCATCAACTTCACTCATGTCTGGCTCCACATAGTCTCTTCACCACTTCTATTCTTTATGGTTTATACATGCACACAATTTATGTCAATTTTTGACAATTTTTTGGTCAAATGCTAGGTATATAAAAATAAGTAGTCCATTTATATCTGTTCAAGTGCTTATATTTGCTTTGAGCAAGTTATATAACGTTGTGTTTTCTCCCAACAACATCATTGTGCTTTCAAAACAAATCATTGTGTCAAAAGAATAACTACCTTCAGTCTTAATTATAAAATCTCATTTGTAGATCGCTAACGATAACTTATAATTAAGACCAGAGGTAGTATCTTTTATATATATAACTAATCTTTATTAATTTTCCATGTCTACACTCTTGGTCATATAAAAATTTCAATCTTTTTTATATTCATTTTTAACATTTGCCTCTGTGTGCATCTGTCAGAAATTGAGAATTTTTACACTATTTCCAAATTTCATGGGTGAAATTGCACCATAAGATAGTCATCCTCCGGTAAAAGACCCATTTTATAATGTAAATTATACTACAAAATAGGTATTATATTTAGAACTAGAAAAGTATTTTATGGGTGTTTTTGTCCCTAACCATAACACAACATATAAGACTCACATCCCTAACTTCTTAACTCTTGTTTCTTTAATTATATTTTTTTGTCTGAGCATGCAGCTTTATGTTTACACAACGAACATTTGTATATGAATCTCATAATGATTCAAATGTCATGCCTTCAACTGTTTGATCGGATTGGTTTCATCATAATCATGCCTTGTTTGCACGAGCGACAATGGAAACTAAATAGCTAAAAAAATAATAATTCTTCAAACACAAAGTTTTTCATCTTTTTGGACGTGTCCCCTTTACATATCCAAAAAGCAACAAAATCATTGAATAATATACCAATACAGATATCTTCAGAAAATTCTTGTTTGTTATTAGTTATGATATGGGCTCATCATCAAAATATCGAAGCACATTGGGAACCCACAATTGTTTGGTCTTTGGAGTAAGATAAATTCCTCATATCAAAATCTTGTACATTTTTGCCGAAAATATCTTGTACTTTACCTCCTTTTTGATACATAACTCGCCCCCAAAAAGTATAATTCTTCTTCTTTCTCTTCTTTAATTATGAAATAAATAAATTTTATGGTGTTATAGTAGGTTCCATAGCATGTTTCAGTTTTCTTGCAAGTTTAACCTTTTTCAACGTGATATATTATGCTGATGCTTGCTGAATCCTTCTTCACCATTTCATTAACTTGCCTAATATTGTACTATATTAAACATTAATTACAAGAACATAATAAACATACATTTAAAAAAAGAAAAGAAAAGAAAAGAAAAACATACTGGATGGCTGTTAACATGTAGATGAGTGGGTCTAGTTTTCTTCTAGAATCTATCTAGAACCAACTTTAAAAATAATAACCCAGAACTGTACCCAATAATAACGGCAACAACATAGAAAGTTTAAAAGCCCACTTAAAATTAAGTTTATTCCTTTTTGTTTACTAGCCAGTTCCCACCAATGCGTATGATTTTCTTCATAAGGACACTGCAGATTATTAAATAGTCAACCTTCTCTAATTAAGGGCATGAATAAAACTAATGATCTAAAAAAATCTGGCTGAACAATTTCATTTGTCAAGGAAAGAACATTATAATATTAACGGCTTGTATAACCAACACAGCAGCTTTGCCCAGCTAACTATACTAATGTGCAATGGAGACTTGAAACTCCAAAGAAACTATCTTTCACATATAAACATTTGTCTTAACCTGATCCTAAATAACCTATGAGATTGAAAATTCTCCCAGCTAAAACCCCACTATCCCACTGATGAACTGGGGTGCCGCTGATGGCCTATGCGGCAAACTTTTCTCTGCAAGTCACTAAACATCAACCAGATCACACTCCATAAAAATCCAGCAGTGACTCTCATTCCAAAACAATCATGGGTTTGCTCAAGCTGGCAGTTTTAGTTTTGAATTGTTCTTCCAGCTGCAAAACAAAACTGATGTTATTCATCTGTTATATGTACAAGGGAACTTTTAATTTAAAAGTATTTAACGGGAAATGGACATTACCTGATGAAGTAGTAATAGAAGAAATCGGCATATAGAGCTGTCTGAACAATACCCGAGATGCAAGCTGAAATAACAGGAAATAAGCTTAGAGTCTTTCCACTATCCTAGAGTATAAGAGAGATTCTTATTTTAATTCCAAAGCATTACTTACCAATCCATCGAGTAAAGCGTGGCTCAGTCAGATATCGGTATATCCAGTTCATAATGTAAAATGCACGATATGCCCTGCAGATCGATGATCAGCCATTATAATATGAGATCCTTAGTATGACAAATCTCGACAAGTCCATTAATATTTGCTGTGATCATGCACAATGATGGAAACCCAAGTGAGACAGGAAACTCTACTCTAAAAGCTAGTTGTTAAGGTAGGAGAATTAAGCATCCCATACTAATTAATGTGTGAGTAAATATCTCAGATTACCAAGTCTTCACCACAAGTAGTGAGACAGCTTATCAAAAACTAGAGATGGAAAATACATATTTAGAAACTGTTAAACCGGCCCAAGAAACAAGAACTAAGAATTTGGTAAAGTAGAAATCACTGTGAATTGTAGGTGAATCGTTTTCAATGTAAGTAGAGCTATACTCCGTAACATATCTAGCAAGTATAATTATTCTGATGCACTTTCACCTCTAAAAGACTTCCCAACAACTCAGCATTATCAACTAATGACCAGCTGACCAAAGAAAGTTCAATAATAATAACCAAGGTTTGAAGGATCTTAGATGAGAAAGTAACATCAACAAAAGTAAGCACATACCCAAGAAAGAATACATATTGGCCGGTCAAATTGTCCACATTTCCACTTCGCTGCAACAAAACCAACTGGGGTAGTATTGCAACTGCTTCCAAGTATATTGAAAATGCCCAGAAAATCTGCAGTAGATTTACATTGAAGTTAATATTCATGATTTTACAACGTTGCCAGGACATACAAACTAAATTGTCCATGTCGACAATACATAAAAAAGGACAAGCATTCTGTTCGCGGATTAAAAGGACTCATCAATATGAATAACGAATTTTCAATATCTTTACAATGTTAGGATGAACAAATTAAGAAATAACAATGATGAGCAGCTAAGCTGAAGATTCCTTAAGGAAATAAGATACTATGATTATGATAGCCACCCTATTATGAGGTATGGTTTTCGGCCTTCCACAGCTACCCACATATTAATGCTTAACATGCTGTCAGATAATTTCCATAAATTTCGAAAATGTCAATTACATGACATACAGCCCTCTTCAGGACCATTGGGCACTTTGTGCAAGTTCCGTGGGAAGCTAATGATATGGCAGCATAAGAATTTGCCACCATCATCAAACAGAAAACCCGTCTACCCCACCTGGATTAACCAGTTGTGACAGAACCGTTGGTTCACTGGTTTCTAGACCAATGTGTATTAACACCAACAATATAATAGAACTGAACTAGACCACGGTCAGGTTCCTGGTTAAACAGACTGGTCAAGTTGATCCAGTTTTGAGAGCATTGCTCCTTTGAACAGAAAAGCATGAAAGCAACCAAAAGAAACAGAGCAGAACGACTGTCACAAGTTAAATTATAGCACGAAGAGCTTTACAATTCCTTTATAAATCCAACAAGGATACTCTGAAATGACTAGTTACAGAACACCAGAGAGCCATGAGCAACCAAAAAGATAAGAAAACTAAGACTTAAACATGACTTGGAACATAGATTTTTTTCCAAAGGTCTGAGTACTCATTTCCAACCAAGGACGCCAACATGTATTAAACACGCTATATAAAATTTTGAACTCCTGTATCAAAATCTTTGAACTTAATCATTGAACATGCCCAAAACTACGAGCTATTCAGAGTTCACCATATACTCAAAAAAAAGCCAAAAGCAAATATGATTTTCTGCTGAGAATAGCAGTCGTTTATGAACTAAAGAAACATATCAGACGCATGGTAGGGGATAAAGTGTTGTTAGGTCTACAAATCAGCAGAGCACTAGCACAAATGTTAACAAGAAATATTGTCTAGGTAAAACTTGATCTTCAAGTAGTTTTGAGTTTCCAAAGAAGTTTCTTAGGAAAGAATTTACCACCGCTTCAAGAGAGTCAGAAACTGAGGAAAAGATATACAAGAAAAAAGCACTACAAGAATCAAGATTTTCAAATTCTTTTATCCAAGTTTGGATGGCACCATTAGGGTAGTGTTTCTGATAACAAATTGGTTTTGGAGGAATACTATATTTCCAAGTGGAAGTGGTGGCCGTTGAAAAAAAAAAAAAAAATTTGGGTTGCAACTGCAGTCACCAGAACAAAAATCAATAAGATGTTTGCAGAAATTTAAAATGAGTGGTGGGGGGGGGGGGGGAAGAAATACAATAAATAAGTAAATAATTAAAGAACCAGCTTATTGCAATGAAATAGCCCAATAATATATGTTTCAGCAATAGAGACACAAGGCATAATCAAAGTGCAAGAGCATGCAAGGAAAATTATATTAAGCTTTCAAACTCTTTTTCACTAGCAGGAGTTTGAGAAGCATTCGGATCAACAATTATTAGGATAAAACATAAAGACTGTAAATCATATCATATAGTAGCAAACATGAAAAAAACAAACAGCTACCTCTTGGAATGTGAACTTCTCATGCAGCACAAGTGCTAAAACAAAGCTCGTCCATACAAGAAAATAATGGCGGAATGTGTCGAGCTCTTTATCATAACTTCTCTTAACCCCTGGGTGCATTCGCATGCACCACACGATCGCTAAAGAGCTCGCAATAAAAACAACCTTCATGATGGTGTTATAAACCGAGATAAAGTCTGTGAACAGATCCAAGTAACGAGCCAGAAATACCAATGCGTAGAGCTCCTGGGTTTTAAGAGAAATCCCTGCAGTTAAAAGCAGCCAATGAAACAATTTTCCTTAATCAGCGTACTTACTCAATACCCAATTAATAAATTATTATTTCTGGTTCTTTGTTTCCAAACACAGATATTAAAAGGTGGAAAGAATTAACCCCAATTTTTCGATCGTTTCCTACCCTTGTTTGCCCACAACTCACACATTTACTAGAACTATGCTTACAAAATTTCCAACCGAAGGACACGAAACTGCACGGAGGTCAAAATCTAATAAGGAATCGAAAGTATTGACGTAAAAAACCGTTCCTTCACACTAAATTAACGGGCACAGCAATCCAGAGAACGGCAAAATGGGTATACTAATTTTTTAACAGAGGCTCCGTAACTTCAATTCTTGAGACGATTGCCGAGAAAGCAAACCAAGTGGGAGATCAAAGTGAAGGACTTGGAGAGAAAGTATTACCTGAGCATGATTTAGTTGCGTAGATTTTGAGCAACAGCACCAAAATGCTGATCAGATGGGTCATGTCCCCGGCAAGCCTGAAGATATTCATGGCTCCGACTCCAAATGCTGAAGGTTATGCCGTCGATTAGAGCGGAAGCACAGAAAGAGACGGCGGAGGCAGACGGAGCAGACGAAAATAACCAGAAGTAGGAATCGGTGGTCAGGGACTAGCTGTGGGAAGGAAAGCTTCAGAAGAACGTGGGATTTTTTTTTATCTCTGTGAGAAACTGACGTAATTACAAACCTTTTATAGGCCTCTAGGTCAAAAAAAATAATATATCCATGTGGAATTAAGATAATTGAATTACCTAGGAAAAAACTAAGATAAATTAGAACAGGTGGATTTTAAATCCGAACAACTGAAAGCATTAATTAAAAATATAAAACAACTAAAAGATAAATTCTTAATAAAAATATGCGTAGTTTTTATTAATAATTTATCTTCTCTCCCTTTTTTGACCAAATTGCATTAGCTTCTCCCTGTTTTTTTAATTGCCAAATTGCATTATCTTCAGATTAGAAATAATCATATTTGAGGAATGGATAGATACTTTTTTCTATACAGCAGAAATAGAAAAACGTAAACAAGCCAGTGATCTACCCTACACGAATGGAAATTATCTCTTCTAATACAAATTCAAATATTAATTTATCACATTTTGAAATATTAGTTATTTTCATTATACCAAATTTTGGTTGATAAAATATGTATGACAAAAACGAAGTTTTATCTGCCGAAAGAATAAAGTGTTCAAAAATATACAATTGATTTTTTATGTTTATATGTGTAGGCTTAAAACTTTAGAGCGATTTATTATTAAAATTTAAATATTAAGGAAGTTATTTGTATATGATTGTAAGTTAAGGAGAAGTTTAAGTAATTTAGTTTAAATTTAAATGCAGGAATTTTTTTCCATTATTTTTTATTTTCGGTGAAATTTCCTTTATTTTCATCTTGTCTTTCTTTTTTTCTTGTGAAGCACAAAGTGTTTCTTCTACTCCACGGCAATTTCGAGTTTTGAATTGTATTTGTACTGAAACTAGCAACGCGTTTTAATTTTTTTCCCCCCTTCCTCCTAGCTTCTCTTTTTTTTTTTTTTTGACCTTGTTCATCCTAGCTTCGTTGATGGGAAAAATACTAAATAATCAAGCAATTTGATTGACTTAAAGTGTATTTTTAATTCGGTAGTTTTAGTTAGGGAGGAAATAGTATAGGCTAAACTTTTGAGACCTTGATCTTGATCGCCAAAAGCTTGGAAAGAGACTGAGTGGAGGAAGGGGAAGAGGAAGACGGTGCTTAGTCAAACTTAAGAGGGCTAATCGGTGCCACATTAGCCCTCTTAATTTAAAGTAATGGCAGCTCACGGATGACAAACAAATAATAAGGATGAAATAAAAAAGAAAAAAACTACAAAAACCTGATTCAAATTTTGATAAAATTATAGGACTGTCAAATTAATTTTCTTTATATGATTTAGTTATTAAACAAATTTAATTTAAATTTATAATAAAATAACAAAATTCCATTCGTTATAATGTCTCCTAAAAACTCAACACAGTTGCAAGGTTACAATGATGGATAAGATAATTTATTTATGATAATAGTAAAAATAATTTTAAAAATTCATCATGGTCGTGCCAATAATCTTAAGGTTCAATGTATTTTTTTTTTATTCACTAGATGGCTCCGATGAAATTAATCAAGTCATTAGTATTAAAAAGCATATTCAATGTACACCGGAAACAACTTTTGGCTAGTGATGGCATTAATTTCCTCATTATTCCTATGATGGATTCTCACATGAAATATAATAATCAGAAAAATGACAGATAAAAAAAGTGGAATATATAATATTCCAATTTGAAAAGCTATGAATTTCCAACAATAAACAGGAAAGTCCTTTCAAATTAAAATTTTAAAATTCAGTAAAATGACAAAAATACTTTTTATCATTTTTCTTTGAAAAAAACAGGCTCAACCCTCGTCAGTGGGTGGCCACCGCCACCGGCCATCGGTGTGGGGTTGCCGATAGATTTTTTTTTGTCACAACTTTTTTTTGGCCATGTAAAAATATTGCAAGAAAGTAGTGGGAGTGGGATTTGATCCCACTACCACTTGGTTATTTTGGTCAACAACAAAAAAAAGATAACCATTGGGCCATCAAAAACTTATTAACTTTTGTAACGTAGACAAAACTATAAATTGACTCTTTTACTGTGGATGACAAGTCTTAATTGAGAAATAACAAGTCTAAATTTGATATCAATAAAGCAACATTTCCTAATACATAACAAGAAATTAAAAATGACAATAATTTATTTGAAAATGACATATCTTTATTAGAAAGTGACAAATTTAAACTTGAGAATAATAATGTATCTTTTCCTAATACATAACAATAAATAACATGTACATTAATTAAAAATGACAATAATTTATTTAAAAATGACATGTCTCTATTAGATAAGAATAAATCTAAACTTGAAATTAACAATGTGTTTTTTCGTGATCCATAACAAAAAATAACATGTATATTAATAAAAACTATAACAATTTATTTGGGAATGACATAAGATTAAACTCAAAATAGGTTAAGCCATAGGTTTAAATCAAATTTTGAATTGATAACAAGACTATATATTTTCATTACAATTACAGAGCTTGCAGTAAAATTTGAATTTGGAATAGATTAAATTTTTCCCAACTAAAGATATCCTTTTATAATCAACTTACCATTGCAATGCAGTATGACTATGCTTGTCAATACAATTGCCATCACAAAACAGGGTAATGTTATTTCAAATTTAACACTGGCCTTCAACATATATAGATAAATACATCAGTTTTTCAAAATCCATACAATAGGCATTGAAACAAAAACACAAAACCAAAAACTTGCCCCACGAAATGCTATTTCAAAGTCAACATAGATATTTGCTTCAATTAAGATGAATACATCATTAATTCAGAACTCATTGAATATACATAGAAACAAACATATCTCAACAAGGGCATTTTATTTCTGGAGATCGGGATTGCTCAGTTGGAGAGTTAAATCCTCTCAAAGGTCATCTCATGATCCTTGTTAGCATGAGAAGGGGCAACATCGTGGGTAGAGTCCACTTGGACGGCTCTCCTGACTTGTGATAAGAAGTCTCTCGGTTTAATATTGTTTCTTGTGATCCATTATCTATTTAAATAAAACGTGATTAACTAATAACTTAATAGAATTTTAATTCACCCTTCAATACACAATCACTCAATTAAACATATTTTATAATTATTTCAAATTACTTATAATTTTTATGCACTATATATATTAACAATCAAAAGTTTATAATTAATTTGCATCGCACCTGTCCAGTGCATGGTTATATGATAGATAACATTGAATACTTAGGTAAAATACTCATCTTTCAACCATCTTTCATTATGCTTATATATAAAAACAACTTCTAACTTTACAAATGGTGCTATGAAGTCATGACAAGTAGCCATCTAAAATAGTTACAACTGGTCTTATTATTTTTTCATTTATTTTACATGTGAATTTTAAGTTTCTATTATATCATTCAATTCGTTATAATTTTGAATTCAATTCAAACTTAATTCCATATTAGTTAATAAATATTCTTATGCAAATGTAAAATCATAATATTTTAATTATAAGTTAGGCTTCTTTTTAATCCGTTGCTTTTTCGATTTCTCATTCTACCTTATTATGGACATTTCATTTTTAATAGATCATATGTTTAATTCGTTAAATGTATTTAATATAAATATATAATTGATCATATAGAATTCAAAAAACTTTAATTTTGAAAATTTTCCAGTCAAAGTAACAGTTATTTGCATGTATTTTCAAATCAAATAATATCTGTAAGTAATGTGTGTAGTGGAGGAAAATTATAAACTTTTTGTGTTTTAATATTTATATTTTATATTGAAGTGTTAATTCATTATACTAACACTTCCTTTAGTATTTTAAATTTTAAAATAAATAAACATCATTAATATCAATATATTCACTAGATTATAATTTTTTTAATTCATTATCATATCAAATTTTAAATCTTTTGGATTCAAAATTAAAAAATAGTTGCATGTTGTAAAAATCACTTAAATTTGTTATCAATAAACGAAATAGGTTGATTTAATACAGAAAGAATCTTGATTCAGGAGAATCGGCATGTGTATATCATCTCATCATTAAGACTCTTATCGGGATGCTTTTTAATTTGCAGAAACTATATATTTTTTCACAAAATTTAGAATTTAAATTCATTTCAAAAAATTTAATAAATATAAAATGATGTCAATAAAGTAAAATGTTTGGAAGTTTATTTATAAATTAATCTCAATTCTAACTCTAAGAATTAAATGCATAATATTTTTAGAAATCCTAAAATTAAATAAAAAAGATAACAATAAATCATAAATTTTTAAAAAAAGGATAACAATAAATCAAAATTAAAATTAAATATTTCTAAATTTTTTTAATAAAACTAAATTATTTAAAATATGCAAAAATTTCAATTAATCATTATTCATGCCCATCTGTCTCTTTCTAACAAAAGAAGCGCATCGCCGCATTAGATGGAGTCCGTCGTTTGGGGATATATCAAATTCAATGCGGACGGGTATGACCCGGTTAGAAACAACTCGGCCAGCGGTGGTGTCGCTCGTGATCATAAGGGGGAAGTTTTATCAGGTTTTCTCCTTAATATCGGCAGAGGGAGCAGCTTTCAGGCTGAGGCTTGGGCTGTGATGTTGGGATTGCGTCGAGCTTGGGAGTTGCAATAGAAGAAGGTAGTAGTGGAAATTGACTGTTTGGAAGTTGTTGAATGTATCAGAAATACACGAATGGTTGGAGAAGGATTGGGAAGCTAGTCTTGAGTGGTGCAATCGAGACTCTAATCGTGTTGCAGACTGTCTTGCGAAGAGAGCCCAGGAAGCTAACGAAGGATTTGTTTGCTTCAGTTCACCTCCTGATTTTCTTATGAGTGTTTTACATACTGATGTAAACGCTTAATAGCGCTTTTTGCTCCTGTTTTCATCAACAAAAAAAAGTTGAATATTTTTTGCAACAAACAATTTTATACGGCTATAATCTCCCTTGTTGTCCCTTTTTTTTCCCTAGGTATCCAGGAGCTAGGATGCCTCCCCAAGCGTTGCAACTGGAACTACAA